CCAAGGGAGGGCCGGCCTTTTCTTTGTTCAAAGACACAACTGCTCAGCAAGCCATGTGCCAGCTAGGCTGCATAGGCACCCAGAGCTACCTTTTAATGTCACCATCAGGAGGGAGCACCTTTTGTCAACTTTGCACATCTTTGCTTGCTGGCCTCCCATGACACTGGTTCATCTTGCCTCCAAGAAGCCACAGGGCATCTAAACCTTTAAGGCTGGAAGCCCTCCCACTGAGCGTAATGGGGCCATTGAGCAGCCCACCCACCCCTGAGATTAGCCGCTTCTGAGATCACCATGAGTCCCTGGGCTGGAGACTGCCAGCTCCCTCACTTCAGACCAACCTGCCCAGATGTGGCTCTGCTCTGCCACCAATGTCCCTCCCCGCACCATGGCTGGATGTCCCCTCACAGCACCCTGGGACCCCTGGCACAGAGAGGGAGGGAGTTGGGGCCGGAGAGAGGGAAAGCCTGGACTTCTGGACTTCCTGCTCCCACTCCCGTGTGGACTTCCACCCTGGAGCACAGAGCGGACCATGTAGAAGGATATTGCCCAGGGAATAGATGAATGAAGAGAAGCAAGGCTACAAGCCCCTTCTCAAAGCCCTCCAGACATTCAGAGCTCTTCCCCGCTCTTGAGTTAGAAGCCCCATTCCCAGACTAAGAAGAAAAAGAAAAGACAAAACCTGTGCGCAGCCCTAATCCCAATGGGCCCCAACCCTGTGCTGCCACAGCTGACCCAGCCCAGATGACACAGGAGGGGACTGTGGGAAGGGTCTCCTGCCCACCAACATCCTGCTGTCCCAAGGCCAAGGCCATTACTCTCTGCCAGCTCTGCCAACCCACAGTCCCTCTCCCAGCCGCCACGTAGGAATGCCCACAGCCCTCACACCTTGCTCTGAACAATTTTCTGTCCAAGCAGGGCTCCCCCAGGCACGCGGTGCACATGGGGACAGGGCAAGGTGGTGGGGGCAAGCAGGGAGCTTGGGAGCCCCTCACACACACACACCGGGCCCCAGTCCCCTTGAGACCAGGCCACCACCCAGTGCTTCCCTTCCCCGTGCCTAAGCTAGCTCCACCTGAGCTGTCCAGACATGGGAAGGGTGGGGCCTGCAGCTGTCAGGCCACGTGTAGAAGAGGGAGGGCAGGACCTGGGTGTTCTTAAGGCGGGTCCAAAGGTGAACCGCGCCTCCCTTACTCCTCACCTGGCCTCTGAGCTGTCTTGATCCCAGTGGCCAGGAGTGAATGCAGCAGCCTGCCTGCCCTGGATGCCAGGTAGGTGCCTTTATTCTTTAAGGAGAAGAGAGGGAGACTCAGCACCTTCCCTGCCCTGACTCTTTAACCCTTTGTCCCCAGCTTCTCCACCTCTCCTGGGACTCAGGGCTCAGAGGGAAGGTGGAGAGAAATGGGGAAGAGGCTGTGGATGAGAGACAGTCTCAGGGCCACAGACCCCGGAGTTCATCACTCTGAGGGAGTAAATCTGTGCCCCTCGGTTTACGGGTGAGAGAACCAAGGTCCAGGGAGGGAAGAGGCCTAGTCAAGGTCCCAGAGACGAGAGGCGAATGGGCACAGAAGCCAGGCCTCCTGCCTCCCAGCCTGGCCCCGGCCCCCGTGCTGGGCCCCCAGAGGCTGCATGGAATCTAGAGGTGGGACCCATGGCCTTCGCTGGTCCTGAGGGTTCCTGCTGTCCCTGGGTCTGGGTGGAGAGGATACGACAATCAGAAGCCACCCTTCAAGTATGGGGGTGGGGTGGGGGGTTGAGCTACTGAGGCAAGGAGCTTCGGGGGATACTCAGGCTTCACCCTCCTACCCACTCCCTTTGCTGACCTGAGCTTGCCAGAGGGAGAAAAGGTCGGCAATGAAGAGAAAGGGGAATTTGCCAAGAGAGCAGGATCCTCCTGCCTTCGGAGCCCTTGGGAACAAAGAAAGTGATTTGAATCCAAATCTGAAGGGTGAGTGGGTGGGAGGGACCAATAAATAGGGCAGAGCTGGCTAGAGCCTTCCCTGCCCACTACACACCCCAACACAGACACACACGCTCACACATACACTCTCACAGACACACACACACACATACGCACCACACACACCTGAGCCCCAGGTGCACCCCCCCCCTCCCCTTTAGAGCAGAAAAGAAAGAACTAGAAGTGCACTGGTCGGGGCAGGGTGTCCAAGAATAAAGGAGTGAACTTAGCCCCTGCCCTGGGAGGTCCAAGGTGGTTCGGGAGTGTTAAAAGTGAGAATTTGAATAAGAGCCCTCCCAGCCCTGTCCCACTGGGTTCCAGAATCCCAATCCC